TTAATTTATCTAAATTCTAGTATCTCAATCTAATTTAATAAACATAGAAGAGTAAATCGTTCAAATTTCAACAGACTGAGCAAGACAATGAGAAAATAAGGGAGATCAGCACTTAATCACGCCACATTCCACCGATAAAAGTATACAGCAATAACTAAAAGAGGATTCAATGTTAAATTTCAGAGAGAAGAAAGTGCCTCACACTAACCTGGCAACTGGAGTAAATCGGAACGCAACGGCGCCCATAGTTGGTTAAAATCTGAGCAAAAATAGCCGGAATATCAGCGACTCCATCGCTATCTTCATCAGAGAATAAATCGATCTCGTTCCTGATACAGCGAAGGAATATCAAACAGATCCTGGTAGTTCGAAAGACATTTTAGGGCTAGCAGAATCAATTGAATGAAGAAATCAAGAGAGTGAAGGATCAGATTTACCTTTAATGACATTTTAGGGATTTCAGAGACATTGTGGAGAGTAAACGATCTCAGAGAGCGAAGGAATGAACTGTCGCTCGAAAAGCGCTACAGAATGAACTGTTGCTCCCTCAACGGATATAAGCGGGAATATTTGAATACTTGGTTAAAAATATTACTATAATATTATATAAATAAATAATTAAATTATCAAATCCATTTTAAACAATTAAAATTTATTTTATTTTTTATTCATTAATAAATATACCTTCCATTTTGGGTTTTAACCTTCATTTAATAATTATCCAATAAATAAATTTAATAAAATTATAAAAATTCAATAATTAATTAGGCATTTTATATTTTAAAAATTAAATATTATAATATTCTCGAATTATAAAAATTTTGAAGGGTAATTATCAAATTCGATAATTAATTAGACATTTTATATTTTAAAATTAAATACGATGATATTAAATGATGTTTCATGTTAATAATGTTCGCTTGACGGGCAGAAAATATATTAATATCGAAATATTGTAAATAACACAATAATTAATTTTTTAAAAAAGAGAATGACTTGGTTTTTTTTTAGTTACCTTACAAGCAAATAAAAAAAACTAATGAAGTTTTAGAATAAATTATATATATTAATTATGGAGAGAATTAAAGAGAAAAAAGAAAAAAAAAAACTGAAAAAGTCAAAAAGTCAATATTCCGACGCGGCGCGTATAAATCTCCGATGTGTACCCGCGGCTTCATCTTCGATCGCCTTCAGTCCTGGTGTTCCACTAAGTCTCATCTGTTCCCTAATTTTTCTGCATCAGTTTCTTCCGCGTTGCCAATTTTCTATATTTGGATTCTGAAATTTAAACATCCCGATTTCTCCATTTCCCCTTTGGTTCTTCCTGCTCGGTTAGAATCCAATCCCCTTTTTTTTCCACCTTAAATCTCCCATAGATTTCTTCTTCTGCTCCTCGGATCAATCGCCCTGATTTGTTGTCGTCAAGGCTACAGTTCCCCGAAGCCTCTCTCAGGGTTCGTGCGGAGTTTCATCATTTCCCTTGGATTCTGTGTAGTGGATTGGTAATTTTGTATTTCTTGATCCATTTTAGGCGGGAATGGATCGCTAGTCGTCGATTTTTCTTTTGAGTGCTTGTTTTCTTTTTCTTTTGAGTGGTCGATTTTTTCATTTCATCATCTTACTGTGCTGGTGATGGTCGCTGAATCTTGAACTGTGAATTCTTTTAATGTAATTTCTTGGATCCTTTGTTCTTTGAATACCGAACCACTAATTTGGCTGTTTCATTTTCGTCCTCGTTGAAAATGTCGTCTATGGGTGTTATTGCTCTTTGTCCTGTTCAGAATGACCACTTATTTTCCCCTAATCGCTTAATTGCTCCATCGGTTTTGGAATCTGATGAATCCATTTGGATATACGTTTCTGTTTCGGGCTCTATGAGTCCTATGCCCATCTTTGCATCGGAATCAATTGAATCTGTGAAGTTAAGGATCCAATCCTGCAAAGGATTTGTGGTGAAGAAACAAAAGTTAGTTTGTGGAGGTCGAGAATTGTCTCGAAATCGTTCGTTAGTTCGGGATTATGGTGTTACTGATGGTAATGTGTTGCATTTGGTGCTGAGGCTCTCTGATCTTCAGGTCATTAATGTGAAGACTTATTGTGGGAAGGAGTTTACCTTCCATGTCGAGCGCGATAGAGATATCTCTTATGTAAAAGAGAAAATCGGTAAGAAGGTAAAGGAATTTGTGGACACTGATGAGCATGAAGTAGTGTGTGGTGGAAGAGCTCTAGATGATCATAGCCTTGTAGCTGATATTTGTAATAGGAAGGATGCAGTCATACATTTGTTTGTTCGGAAGTCTGCGAAAGTTCGTGGCCGACCTGTTGATAAGAACTTTGAGCTCTCTATTGTGGCATCGAATTTCAAAGAACAATGTAAATCTGAGTTTTCCAGGGGAAGTGATCAGAAGAAGAAATACAATGAGGATACGAAAGTTTATACGACAAACTATGAATATGACAAAAAAATTGCACCAAGAAGGCCTTCTCCTAATGGAGGTAGCTTCATGGAGCCCATTGTCGTTAACCCGAAGATCGAAATACCAATACCGATCTGGGATATGCTGAACTCGACTATAGATGGTTTAGACCATGGGCATTTTCCAGTTAGGTCCTTGGAGGGAACTGGCGGAGCGTATCTAATGTTAGACTCATCAGGAAAGAAGTATGTGTCAGTTTTTAAGCCAATTGATGAGGAGCCAATGGCTGTGAACAATCCGCGAGGGCTTCCATTGTCGTTAGATGGCGAAGGGCTAAAGAAAGGAACCCGAGTTGGAGAAGGAGCATTCAGAGAAGTTGCAGCTTACATTTTAGATCATCCAGTAAGTGGACACCGTTCAATGTTCGGCAACGATAATGGCTTTGCTGGTGTTCCTCCTACAGTATTCGTCAAGTGCTTTCACGACGGGTTCAGCCAGAGCCATCGTAGTGAGAAATCGATTAAAATCGGTTCCCTGCAGATGTTCATGGAAAATAATGGTAGTTGTGAGGATTTTGGTGCTGGGGCATTCCCTACTAAAGAGGTGCATAAAATCTCTGTTTTAGATATCAGATTGGCAAATGCAGATAGACATGCTGGAAACATTCTATTGGGAAAAGAAAGAGAAGGGGGTCGAACTGTGCTTATTCCGATCGACCATGGATACTGCTTGCCAACAAGTGTAAGGTTTCTCGACTCGTAGCTCGTAAACTGTGCATTGCATATGAATTGAACTGTTTGTTTGTGTTGTGGTGTTGCAGTTTGAAGATTGTACATTTGAGTGGCTGTATTGGCCACAAGCCCAGCAACCATATGATGCAGAGACATTAGACTACATACAATCACTGGACGCAGAGGAAGATATTGGCCTTCTGAAGTTCCATGGATGGGAGCTGCCTCTTGAATGTGCTCGTACGCTTCGCATCTCGACCATGCTTTTGAAGAAAGGGGCAAAGAGAGGGCTCACGCCATTCGAGATCGGTAACATAATGTGTCGAGAAAACTTGACAAAGAAATCCGTGATCGAGGAGTGCGTGGAAGAAGCAATGGATTCTTTGCTTCCTGGTACAAGTGAAGCAGCATTCCTTGAAACTGTATATGAAATAATAGATCACCGCCTGGATCTGATTGCTGCTTCATTGTCCTGACGGGGAAGGTTATAAAAAAAAGGACCATTTTAGTAACAACTAATAATAGGTGTAATTAATTTTACAATATGTGGATAATGCACATATGATGTTAATGAAATATTATTACTATGTACCAACGACCGACAGGACTGTTTTCTGTTCTGTTTCCTCTTCTTTGTTTTGGCTGCTTAGAAGGATTGTCTGCGGCTTTGTCAATGGCGATTGTTTGGAATGTGGCCGTCATTATATTTTCTGCTTTGTATGCCTTCCTAAGCTCTTTTCCCTTGGGAGTTCAATAAATATCTTATCATTTTTTTTTTTTTTTTTTTTAATATTCCCTTCAATGTCTCTTCGTGCTGTATTGCTTGTTTCATCATATGAATTATTAACAACTCTGTTTCACCATTTGAATGATTGAAATGGTGTATGTCGACAACCTTGTGAACCTGTTGCAAGGCTTCTATCTACGTCAATAGGGAAGGGAAGAGAGAGCTAGAAGAGATTTCTATTCTTTAGCTAGATAGGGGCATGTGGGGATAGGCGTATGTGGGAATTCATTCTTAATGGGAGAATGGAATAGGGGGATTGTGTAAGGGAATTCATTCTTAATGGGAGAATGGAATAGGGGGATTGTGTAAGGGAATTCATTCTTAATGGGAGAATGGAATAGGGGGATTGTGTAACGACCCAGATTCACTGCTAGCAGATATTGTCCTCTTTGGGCTCTCGGCGGGCTTCCCCTCAAGGCTTTAAAACGCTTCTGCTGGGGTAGGGGAAGGTTTTCACACTCTTATTATAAATAGTGGCAACCAATGTGGGACCTCACAAATTGGGAATAGAAGTTCATTCTATACCCTTGTGGTTTGTTTTCCTCTCCAACCAATGTGGGACATCACAAATTGGGAATAGAGGTTCGTGTGGACTCGAACTAGAAAACAAGGAATGAAAGAGAGTGAGTTAGAAGAGATTTCTCTTTATAGTTGAATAGAGGGACAAAGAATAGAGGTCCGTGAAAATTCATTTTAAACGAAAAATAGGGAATTTCTCTTTATAGTTGAATAGAGGGACAAAGAATAGAGGTCCGTGAAAATTCATTTTAAACGAAAAATAGGGAATAGAAGAGAGAGCGAACAGAGATTTTTCTTCTTAGCTAAAGAGGAACGAGAATTATAGCCGAGATGTTCCCTTCCCCGTCCTAGGTGAGATGTCCAAGTTGGTATAGCAGATTTTAGCTATACTTCAAGAGTTTAGTATCATTCGATGTTTTTAAGGTTTTCTTTTCTTGTTATAATTAATGCTCCAAAAACAATGATCCTATGATGTTTAGAAGGTTCATCCTGTTTGTCTTTTCTGCTCTTTTTTTCTTATTGGAAAAAGAACAACTAAGAACACAGTTTTCAAAACAAGCTTCAATGTTTAATGTTGTAAGCTATTCCCAATTACAAGAAGTTGGAGTCGAAGATGGTTTCAAGACCTTTGTGTACACTGTTTATTAGGATTGGCAAAGACTTATGAGCTGATTCAACAACAATATCACTGCTTATTTTGTTCTTTCCAAATCCGTCCCATGATCCGCAACTTCAGCTCTTTCCTTTCCCCGCCCGAGAAGAACAGTGCCATGTTTCGATGTATAATGAGGCCATCGTGGCTGTCTCGGACTTTCTTGTGGTTGTCCCGAATGCTTCGAGGGTTGCCTTCCCACGTTAGCTTCCTCCCATTCCCACCGGCCTCGAGGCTGTAACTGTAGTTTCGGGCGTCTGTTTCGTCGCCCATGAATCGGAGAAACACCATGTAAACTGGTGCCATACCAAGCTGAAAGGCTTCAAAATGAAGACAGAAATACTGGTCAAAACAGTGGAAGACCTGCACAAAGGTGAAATAAGAGCCATCAACAGAAGCTCGCGTAAGAAGTAAGACGTGATCTTGGATATCGTCTCGTGAAATCGTTCAACAGATACTCACAGTTAACATCCATATAGCGTTTTCAACTTCGCATGGATTAGCCTTTACGTAACGATGATTAAACGTGCATCCAGAATGCATATCGACTTTGTGATCATCTCGAAGATGAGAAACAAGGAAAGGAATCTCCCCATCAATTGGGCAGTCTGATCCAGCATAAGGGCAGGTATATGGTCTGAAGTAACAGGCAGATTCATGTTTTAGTTTACTATAGTACGGCAATATCTCCGAGCACCCGAACGTGCAGAATTTACAAGCCAGTTTAAGCGATTCGGCTATTTTTTCTAATGCTAGACATCTAATATCACCGAGCTCTTGTCTGCACGTCGGGCAACGGTTGTCTACCTTCGTTTTACACGAAGAACAGAGGGTATGTCCATTGGGACACTGCACAAACAAAACAATAAGTTCACAACATTCAGCAATATCTTCTCATTTGATGAAGCCACAGATCTCAAGGTAGAATCCGAGTTCTCAATAATAAAATCCTGGTTATAAAAAACATCCTCTTATAGTCCAAGTTCACTGCTCACAAATCTTGTTTGCTTTGACTCGTTACGTATCGCTATCAACCTCACGACCTTAAAACGTGTTTGCCCAGGGAGAGGTTTCCACACCCTTTAAGGAATGTTTCGTTCCCCTCTCTAACCATCGTGGGATCTCACAATCCATTCCTCTTGACGGTTCATTATCCTCACTAACAAACAGCTTGGTGTCTGACTTTGATACCATTTGTAACCGCCCAAGCCTACCGCTAGTTGATATGGTCCATTTTGACCCGTTACGTATCTTCACAAGGGTGTGTAAATCTCTCCCAAGTAGACAAATTTTAAAACCGTGAGACTGACGACGATACATAACAAGTCAAAGCGAACAATATCTGCTAGGCTTGTTACACGAGGTCACAAAGAGGAGCCCCCCTTCCCCAATGGAGGGTGTGGAAATCTCTCTCTAGTTGATGGATTTTACAACCGTGAGACTAACGACGATACATAACAAGCCAAAGTGAACAATATCTGCTAGGCTTGTTACACAAGGTCACACAGAGGAACCCCACTTCCCCAATGGAGGGTGTGGAAATCTCTCTCTAGTAGACGGATTTTAAAACCGTGAGGCTGACGAGGATACATAACAAGCTAAAGCACAGCAACAATTGTCTCTAAACAACAAAAAAAGCTATTCATTTTGCAAATGAGTATATGCAACAGCAAGGGTTTAACCAAACAATTGATACTCATTTCATGAACCAAAGGCCTCATTAAACAGAACATTTCTGAAACAACAAACCCACAGCTTCAGCATAATCAAACAGATCAGAAACCACAAACACCAAACGAATTGAAACAAAAACAGCAACGAACTTGAAGGAACCTGATGAATTGGAGGATACATAGAATTAGTGCAGACAGGACATTCCAGCAGCTCGTGGACACTTGTAGTGGTCGGATTGTCGTTATTGCTGATCCGAGGCTTGGAAATCGACGGAAACTGACAGTGACATTGAAGGGTCTTGTCCTCCTCGTTCATCACGTCCATGGACGGCGGCGCGCGTTCGAGGCCATCCAACTCCATTTTCGGAAAATAATAAGCCTCTCCGACTTGGAATGATTAATGATTCCGCTCCGACAATCGGAAGAACATCAGAATCCATTGATGGGTTTTGATGGGTCAGATGATTCCGCCATTAATATCGCCGGCTTGACGGAATCTGAAGAATGATCGGAAAAATGATTGAAAATTGTTGATCGGAGGGCTCAAATGGGCGGTTTTGAGATCGGAGAAATTGAGAGAAGGGAAATTTATTAATAAGAAAACGAGAAATTAGTTAAAAATCGAAGGGGTTTTTTCTTTTCCCTTCCTTTTTCAGACCCAATTTCGGATGGGTCGACACGACAGACAGAAATGTCGAGGTGGATCGGTTATAGATGAAGAAACTTCCTTGTTCGTGAGCTGTTCCTGTCCTTGTCGCTTCTTATTGAACCATTAAAAAAAAAAAAAACCAAAAAATTAATCATATTAAATTATATTTATATTTATTAAAATAATTATGTATCTTATGATTCTTAAAATTTATCGAAAAAATATATATAGAAATTAAGTTCCGTTCGCCCATATATATCCCTTTGATGCTTTGTGATACTATCTCGAGTCTCGAGATGTCACTGGTCTTCATTGCTCGCTCAGATACGTTCACTGAAAATCGATCCATGAGTTAATTTCCTAATCCAGATATTTCGAATAAACGTTCATTTGAGTATTATTAAGGTATCATTTGAGGATGGTACCTAGTTCTGATTGATTTTTTCCCTCGTGGTCTTATAATGATTTTACGTCCCAATAATTCTTTTCTCGAACAAACTATACCTATAGAGTCTCCCCTTTATCGAGGTTCGACTCTTTCTCTAGGGACCTCAAACAACCACGACTCTTTGTAATGGTATGAGATATTATTCCCTTTGAACATAAGCTATCGTAATTTTATTTTTGATTTAACGAGAAACGGTGAGAGAACAAAAGTCTTCCAAAGTAAAAGAGAAAGGTTGGTTATTGTTTGGAAAAGCTGCAAATCACTAAGCTTTTTCAGCTTTTATCATCCAAGCTTATGTGTTCTTCCGAACATCGTTTCATAGAATATATCTTTTGGACTATAAATACTCAAATGAGTAAATGAGAAAGGTACGTGATTGATAACATATGTCTTAACTTAGCTCACATGCATATGATCCTATGAACGATGTTGTCTAACTCAGCTCACATGTATAGGATCCTATGAACGATATTGTCTAACCCACATCATAATTATTGTCGTGTCCTTTTCTTCTTATGAAAGCTACTTTTTTTTCATTCCTTTTCGTTTTTCAAGTTTCTTCTACGAACTATCATTAACTTTCGAACCCCTTTTTCATAGCCATGCAACTCATAGTAAATTATCGATCCGATATTTTGGGTTCGGTTGAAAATATCATCAAACCGTAAACGAACCCAACCCGACGTCTCATTGTTCTTGTCATATAAAATGGCTTGTGCATTGAGTTCATATTTAAAGCTCGAATTTGAGGTTTTCGAATCCAACCCGAAACTCGTCCACATAAGATGCAGTTACAACAACAAATACTGGGTCTGGCAGTCGCCCGACTCCTACTACATTGTTGCAGCTTCCACTCAGAAGGACGAGAACCGATCAAGTTAGTCGTGCACGTTGTTCGAGCCCATCTATGATGCTGACCATGAAGCCTACTGTTTTCGCCACGTGCAGACATATTGGTCGTTATTTGCAATTCTCTGGAACAGATCTTGAACATCCTTCCCTTGTCCATGAAATTTTTCCTGGAATGATGGAACTATTCGTATCAAGAATGTCGGGTGCAAAATGTTCTGGATTCATGATCCTAATTGGAAGGGATGGACATGCCACTTTACTCAACCTTAAATCGTAATAGAATTCACGAGCTCGTTCTTTGTTGTAATCTCGACCAATACTCTAAGATTTCGAGTACTATGAGTGGTTATAAGAATTGGTGTACGTTCTCGACCTTACGGTTTTAAAACGCGTTTGTTAAGGAGAGATTTTCACACTCTTATAAGAAATGCTCGTTCTCCTCTTCAATTGATTTGAGATCTCTCAATCCACCCCCCTAACGTTCTCGCTGACTGTCCAATGGCTGGCTATGATACCAATGTAATAGCCCACCGCTAGTAGATATTGTCTGTTTTGGCCCACAGCCTAACGGTTTTAAAACACATTTGTTAGGAAGAGGTTTCCACACTCTTATTAAGGAATGTTTCGTTCTCCTTTCTAACCGACGTGAGATCTCTTGGTTTTAGACATGAGGAGTCTAAAATCATGCATGTTCGGATCTATTTAGATTTTCGTAACCTCATAGCTCGTATATGCACTTGTCTCGACAACAAGTTCAAGTTCCATTAGAAGAAAAAAAAAAAAAAAGAGTAGCATGAGTATACAAAAAAATTACTCGGTAACTAGCAAGATTGTAAGCTCATAAATCGTTCTTAAGTCTTATGTTAATCATTCGTATGTCTAATTTCATACCGAAATATCGCCTGTCTAAGTCATAGACTCTCCTAAATTTGAAATAGAAAATATCATACTATTATAAGAATATATATATCATATTTGTTCTCTTAGCACGTTATGTCTGTTAATATTATAGCTCGAAACTCTCAAAGGTATGATTCCGAATAACATGACAACTATTATTAATCAGACTCGAACAAACCTAACATGAATATTATAATATACTATCCAACCCTTTTATTATTTTTAATGGAGAAAATCACAGAATCCAAACTCGTGGTGTTCAAACTTTCATATATTTTAAGATGAACGTTAGGTATCACCTAACTCGGAGTTCAAATGCTGATGTTCATTGTGTGATATTTTTGTGGTCGGCCCACGTCACCAAATAATTCTTTATTTTTTTGGCTTGTCGATGTCGTTGGATTATGAAGTGGACCCGAATATTTGATGTACGATATACACTTAATAAAATGTCTAATTTGATTTGATTTATACCTAAAACTTTATATTATTTTTTGCTATAAACTTTTGATTTCATAAGAGAAAAACTAAACACTACCTATAAGAGCATGAAGTGGACCCGAACATGTTTTAGAATTATGAAACTGACAGCTATAAGTAACGGACAATATCCAATTAGATTACAAATTTGTTTATTAAGGTTGTTTTGATGAGTATTTATGTTTCTTGTTTTACTAAAAAAGAATTAGAAACACGACCGTAAAGTAGCCGCCGACAGTCCCACCGTTGCGTGTTCATGTCCTTCTCCGGTGACAACACGTACGAGCAACATGTCCCTTCTTCAACGGTGTGTGAGTTTCCTCTAGCGTTTCTTCCTCCTCGTGGTGGCGCCAGCAACAACGCTCAACCAAATTCGACACAAGGTCGGTGCGTGAACCCTTTGCGACCGTGCTTATAAACCCATGATCAACTTTTTAATAGCCGATGTGGGACTCCTCGGCTCGACCTTTTCGAGCTCTTATAAGCCCTAGTACGTGGGTGAGTGATTACTACAAAGCATTAAAGAAAGGGAAAAAAGAGAGAGGATTGTAAGTGGTAATTGAGGCAACATATCTGAAATAATTTATAATGTGATAGTTGAGGTCTCTTTTCAAAGTGCTTATACTTTTAAGGAACATTATTCACCCAAGAAAGTGGCATCATCAAAGTGCTTTCACTTCACTTTCTTCAATCTAATCATCAACTACTACTACTAATACCCATTACCCATTACCCATTAAAATCAGTTAAAGATCATTCATGACCTAATTCTCATCACCTAATCACCTTTAATTTTTCACCCATGCAACCACATGTCATAGCTAATACGAGTTAAATGAACGATGTAATATACCCATTAAACAAATATCTGACGATCAACGATATCCCACATGGGTTGGAGAAGGAAATCAAACATTTCTTAATAAGGGTGTGAAAGTTTTTCCCTAGTAGATGCGTTTCTGAACTGTGAGACAGATGGTGATATGTAATGAGCCAAAACGAACAATATTTGTTAGCGGTAGGCTTGGACTGTTACAAATGGTATTAGGGCCAAACAGTGAGGATGTTGGACCTCAAAGCGGGGTGGATTGTGAGATCTCACATGAGTTGGAGAGAGAAACGAAGTATCCCTTATAAGGGTGTGAAAATTTCTCCCTAGTAGACACGTTTTAGAACCATGAGACTAACAGCGATATGTATCGGGCCAAAACGGATAATATCTATTAGTGGTGGGCTTGGACTGTTACAATGGTATTAGAGCCAAACACTGGCCGGTGTGCTAGTGAGGACACTAGGCTTCCAAACGGGTGTAAATTGTTAGATCCCACATGGGTTGGAGAGGGAAACGAAGCTTATAAGGGTGTGAAAACCTTTCCCTTGCGTTTTAGAATCGTGAGGCTGACAACAATACGTAATGGGTCAAAACAGACGATATCTACTAGTAGTGTGCTACAAATAATATTAGAGCCAAATACCAGGCGGAGTGTCAATGAGGACGTTAGGCCCCCAAGCAGGGTGGATTGGGAGATCACACGTGAGTTAGAAAGTATAAGGGTGTGAAAACTTCTCCCTTGTAGATCCATTTTAGAATCGTGAGACTAACGGCGATACGTAACAGGCCAAAAAGCAGACGATATCTACTAGTGGTGTGTTACAAATGGTATTAGAGCCAAAAACTGATCAGTGTGCCAGTGAGGATACTGGGCTTCCAAACGGGTGTGGTTTGTGAGATCCCACATGGGTTGGAGAGATAAACAAAACATTCCATATATGGGTGTGGAAACCTCTCCCTAGTAGACGTGTCTAAAACCATGAGGCTAACAATGATACATAACGAGTCAAAACGGACAATATCTACTAGCAATGAGCTTGGACTGTTACCTACGTACAGGGTATTATAGCACGTGCAAGATACTATTTTTTTAACGCAAAGTTCATTTCACTAATAGTATCGTTCTACATTTTTAATCTCCTTACTTCCATTAGATAGATAAATGATATTTTATTCCGTCTTCTATTAACAACGCACAACATACGATAAAATCAGTACGAACAACGTCCATACAAAGGTAAAAAATGAATAACGAGAAGACATCTAAGAACGATAATCATGATATTAAAAATTTGGATGATAATACCCTTATTGGGACCTAATAAAACCCTTTAAAATTTAGGTGGGTGACAGGCAAACCCAAGCGTGCAAGTTAACCTTAATTTAAGCATGGATAGAAAAGTTAGGCATTTAGGCAATAATTTAAACAAAAACCAAACAAATCATCTCTTGATATTACAAATCTAAACCCCAAAATCTCCATTTGTCAATCATTGTTCATCACAATATATTCAATTTCCTTTAGAGTTAATGGGTTTTT